CATTGATTTCTATTAAATAATTGATAAACATGTTTGATGTTAGTTTTGTAGTATTTACTTAAACCTCACAGGGTGCAGAGACATTTTTAAAGGGACTGTTTAGACATTTGAAAACAGGGATTATATATAAAAAGGGATTATTCACATTTTTTGACAATATACAAAGCTGTCCTGTGGACCAAATTATCTGTACTTTTAGAATAATTATAACAGGCCAGGCAAAAATTATTTGGACAGAAATTTTGGGCGTTCTGGGACTCAGCGTCGAAATTGGCTTTATTGTAAGTCTATTTCGGAAAAATTGGATTATAATGTTTATTTTTCAAAGGATGAACGTCCCCTTCAGGATAAACTTCGCTATATTTCAATATTTAAAGGGAGTGTTCGCGAATAATGAAAGGGGGTATAGGCATACACCGAAAAATAAGCGCTTTTGATCGCTACTGATCTTACTTCTATCTGTTGCGTCTACAAGGAGAAAATTGTTAAAAATAACTTGAACCGAATAACGTAGCATCAACCCAAATTGAGAAAATTGCAATCCATGACTTGGATCGTAAAAAATCAATTTAATATCAAACAAATTATTTAGATATTACAACCTTCAGTCATCGATTATTTTTCGATGCATTTGCTTAAAGTGATATTTCATAATATTTTGTATTTGTTTTACATACAATGAACTTAAAACGCCGATTAGTTTGTCCGCTCTTAATGCTCTTAATGATTCCACGTGGGAGAGACACCTAGCGGAAATAAATCCTTGTTTTAGGTGCATTGAATATAAAAGAAGTAAAAAATAATTTGAAAAATTAACTATATACAAATGTGGCGAAAAATAATCGATGACTATATAGGTTGTAATATCTGAATGATATGTTTGAAATTAAATTGATTTTTTTATGATCTCAGTTTAATATTGCAATGTTCTCAATTTGAATGGATGCTACGTTATTCAGCAAAAGTAGCTTTTAACAATTTCCTCCTTATAGACGCAACAGATAGAAGTAAGATTAGTAGCAATCAAAAGCGCTTATTTTTCGTTGTAAGCCTATACCCCCTTTCATTTTTTCGCGAACACTCCCTTTAAAGGAAAAGTCTACGAAATTTCCAAGTGACTGCAACAATAAGAGATGCAATGCTCAATTTACAACTCCACCCTTTACACATTCATCTACATGAATGCAACAATGTTAAAGATATCATCGTTATTTTTTCTAGTGAAACGTTTGCAATTCTGTAAATTTCATTTTTCCGCATAAATCTGATGGCCGGTTTAAAAGAAACCCTCAATTGAAAATGATTAATTTTCAGATGGAAAAAATTTTTTTTTAAAGGGTAATTTTGTGAATTGGGCATGTCCCCATTAAATTCAGTTTGCGTGTTTTATAAACATAATATTAAAGCATGATAGGAAAAGTTTGGCTATTTGTTGATTTTTATGAATATCATAAATATTTAAATTTAAGTTTCAAAAATCACCTGAAGTCCGGTTTTTATGAAACAAAATGAAAATTTCAAATTGTTTCCGTGAAATTTATAAATAAAAATTGAAAAGATAAACTTTTTCTTACATTTAAACCCAAACTTTAGAAAAATACAAGATTAAATAAAAAGAATAAACATTGCAAAAGTTTTTGCAACAGTTCCACAATGTTGCAAAATTTCGGAAACAAAAATTAAATTATACATTTTTTCTTAGGGGGGGGGGTCAGTGGTTGCCACAGGCCTAGAACTTGAATACTTTTAACCAAACTGCCTACAAAGATGCAACAACTATGAAAAGTTTAAACTGTTTTTAAAGAGACAGACCGGCTATGTTTTTAAGACCGGGTCGATTTTACATTCTTGCATTGCCTTAATCTTCGAATTTATCTCAATAACTCAATTCAACTTTTTTTGTAGCCTTAGACATGAACTTCAACGCACATGTTTTTAAGATGCAATTTGCGGTAAAGCTTGCAACCTTCGGATCGCTGTGAACTCAAGTCAGTTTTTAGTCCCATTTCAGACTGATGGATTTGGTTAAATATAGCTTTCTGGAAAAGGATGCCTGTTGAAATATTTTTACAATTTAAGTTTGGTCCATTTTATTCAATAATTCATTCTCAGCGAATTTGCTGATTTTCAGTTTTTTTAAATAAAATGAAAACATCAGCAGATAGAAGTAAAATTAATAGTGATCGAAATTGAGTTTAATTAGGGATCAGAGGATACCCCCTCTAATCATTCACGAACTACTGGGGGATGTCGATTTTAAACAAAGATAGAGTTAACAATAATTTACTTTAAATCAGAAAGAATGCAAATATGATTCGGATGGAAAAAAGAAGAAGATGGTTCGGCCTTATTTCAATTGGTAAAGATGACACAAAATAATATTTGAACTAGATAATATTGATCTCTATCTCAAGCATTGATTTCTATCTCAAGCATTGATTTCTATCTCAGGCATTGATCTCTATCTCAAGCATTGATTTCTATCTCAAGCATTGATCTCTATCTCAGGCATTGATCTCTATCTCGTGCATTGATCTCTATCTCAGGCATTTATCTCTATCTCAAGCATTGATCTCTCATGCAGATCTTCAAAATAATTTGTTTCCTCTTTGATATCCCTGCAGGGATATCTTTAATTAAGGGATCCCTCAAATTTAAAAGTACCCACATTTGATATCGATATCAAGTGTTGTTCAAGATTTAGCAATATCCACATTAAAGTTTTGATCTGATACATTTTCAGCTTAAATAATTAACAATTGTTACAAAATCCTCATTGATGACCTAAATCATTGCACTGTTTTATGATAATCACTGTATTACAAGAATTATTGAAGTAAGCACATAATTAGAAAATATGAACGCGGCATTCCAGAGTGAATTAGTAATGACTAATCAATTAATCTTTTACACACGTCACGTGACGTCAGGCTATAATGATCTTTTTTGAGGATGATTAAAACAAATTTGGGCGGCCAATCACCGACCAAAAAATGAACTTTAATTGTTTCAAGGACAATTTGTTTTACCAAGCATACNTATCTAAGGTCTACGACTTGGGTTGTAACGATATAAGGATTAAAAAATCAAAGTTTGTGACAAAGACTCAATTTCCTTTTGTAGTTAATCAACAAATATGAAAGATGATTTTACACCATGAAGCAATATTCTTGATATTGCACTAAAATCTAAACTTTAAACATCAAATTCATGAAGTTTGTATATAATATTTTATGATGGTAAAATTCATGCGGATCATGCTTATTTTGAAACATCGCGGCTTTTTAGTGCATGCACCTTGTGATTCATATTATTATGTGATACATTTTTTTTTGATTTGTTAAAAGACGACATTGGTTAACATATTCTCTGTGGACAATTATACTTTCAAAGAACAGGTCATTGTTTTACAGTGATCATGATGAGTAAAATCTGTTTGTCTGTTTGTTTAGTTGTCTGATCATACCGATCATAATCCATGGGACCGATTTGCCTCAAATTTTGTTTGGGGGAACTTTGTATAGCACTGCACGGGAATGTTCTTAATATTATACAATTTTACAATATTATACAATTTTACAGTCCTGAAAAACAGTAAAACATTGTTAACCCTAAGAAATTTTGCCCCTAGAAACATTAATAAACTCAGGGTATATTTAGGGGCTAAATTCTAATTAATGAAGAAATAAATTGGACTCGTTGATTAATAATTCAAAATTAAAGCTGAATAATAAATGAAACTTAGAAGTGATAGATTTAAAGAGTATTAAAGTTTTCAAAAAAGGAATTTTTGTGAAAAGAAAACTTTATGCTAAATTGAATTAAATTTAAATTTTCTCATTTACAATTTTCTATTACACATAGAAGCTTTGTCTAAGCGAAATTTTGACATATGTTAAACGAATTATAAGTATTAATTTAATTCTCGTATAAACCTTTTTACCAATGACAAGAAATACGATTGCTGTTTAAGATGACATTAATATCTCCTAATTTAGGTTGCATTATAGCCGCCCTCATCTCTCTAAACTATACAATCAACAACAGGAAAATAAGAAGAATATATTTTTTTTAATTGATAAAATAGAGCTTCCCACCACAGACACTTCCCATTATTTATAGTTAATGAAATTGTTTCATTTGTCGAATGAAAGACGACATTTAGTTTTAAAGTTTCTGTTTTTCATCGTCTTTGTATTTTACAGTGAGTATGAGTTGACCCCTGCAGACAATGCTCTTAGTCTTCAGATGGAATGGGTTCAGGTAATCTGGAGAAGGAGGAGAAGGAGAAGAAGGAGAAGGAGAAGAAGGAGAAGGAGGAGAAGAAGGAGAAGGAGAAGAAGGAGAAGGATAAGAAGGAGAAGGAGTAGAAGAAGGAAAAGAAGAAGGAGAAGAAGGAGAAGGAGGGAAAAGGAGACGTAAAAGAACTTATAAAACAGAAAAAGTTGTAACAACCCACGCAGCAAGGGAATTGAAGTTCTTAGATCTTCTAAATTTATTTGTCAAGCTAATTTCAGGAGTAAAATTCTGGAATTTCTAAAATGTGGTCTTCCTTTTTTTACTTTATACAGGGCTGCCCACAAAGGATGAGACTTAAATGAGATATTATAAAAAATATAACAAAAAATAACATTTACTAAATATATATATAATAAACATTTGCCCAACAAATTTTTAGTAAAAAAAATAGATTTTATTTTCCATCTTCCAAAAATATTTTAAAATTTTTGAATCACATTTTATTTTTTTGTTCTACTTAAAATCCGAAAAAAACAAAAATTTAGAAAATGTTGTCCAGAACATCGGTTATCGCGTTTTTTACTCACCCTGTATATATACATATAAATATATAAATGTATTATGTAAATATATTAAGGAAAGTATGAAAGAGATTAAGAAGATTGAAGAGAGAAGAAGAATCTTGATTGTTTCCTCCTGGAGATCTGGTTCTTCATTCTTAGGTAACAATTATCCAATCAACTTCCGCTTCGATTTAGATTCTGATTTAGTTTTAACCTTTTTTATTTTTTCATGATCACTTCCTTATTAATCTTATCTTGATTACACAAAATGTTTAAAAACACAGAATTAAATGCAATATTATATCACTAGGCTTTTAGGGCGCTTCATTTTTAAACAAAGAAGAAAAAAATTTTGCGGATTTTTAAAAAAAAATTCGTGGATTTTCAAGAAATGTTTGTCTGTTTGTTGTATCCAATAAACGTTAAAACGGACGAACTGATCGGGCACAAATTTTGTGTGGGACCTCACAAGACCCAAGGGAAGGTTTATGGATGATCAAATTTCAAAAATTAGCATCCAACAAAATTCGATTTTCATTTAATTTTGAAAATTCACGATTATTTTTTATAAAATCCGCGAAATTTTATTGTTATTGTTTTACGATGTAATGCAAAAATGTTCTCAATTAAAAAAGAAGATGGACCCGAAGCGCCCTAAAAGCCTAGTATTATTAAATTGTGCAATGTTTACATATTGTACATGACTGAATTCATGTTCGTAATTCAGGAGGATTGTTTGAGTCGCATCCAGGGATGATGTACGTCTTTGAACCTTTGCACGATCTGGAGGATAAAATTGCAAGGTTGCTTTTTTTAAAAATCATTTATAGAACAATATTGTTTTTAAACTGTACTGCAGTCGTAATTTTAAAAGGCTTCATTAGAGGGGCATGTTCAATTCTCAACAGAACACTTTAAATTTCTATCTTAATAATTATGTACCTATAAGGAACTGTTGTTTTTCTCCCTTTAACAATGTTAAATTTTCTTTAATTGTCTCTACAGCAAGTTGTGAATCTGAAAAAATAACAGGTCCCTAAATGCCTATACAGAGTCCTTGTAAGGTTTTTACTATCTGTATTGTTAATAGTTAATGCTGCAATTATGAATATAATGTTAATATGTTTTTGTCATATTATTTTTATTTTATTTATTTTATACTAGCTGGAAGACCCGGCGTTGCCCGTGAAAAAAAAGATGCTGAAAAAAGAATTCAAAATTTAATTTATTTTTGAATTTAGCCTATAAGTGTTTACAAAAAATTTCAGCCCAATCGGTCCAGCCGTTTGGCCGGCTATAGACAACATATATATATATAAATACAAATGTCTTGTTTTATTATATAGATAGTTTTACTTCTTAGTTTTGCCAAAATATTCCTTTTAAAGGTTTAGAATATCAAACATGTTGCACTATAGGAAAATACTGAGTTTTCTAGTTGAAATTCCATTTCAAAAGATAATCCATGGATTATAGAGATGTACTTGTATCATCAAAAGACATCAAGTTTAACGTATACATATACAATATCAAATATATTCAGACAGATGTAATTTGATATTATTTAGTCACAATTCACAAGAAAAATTCGCATGGCTTCAAAACAAATACATAAATTCAACATGGATAAAAAATAAATTTTTTGATTAATTGCAAAGCCTTACACCCTATTAAATTTGATAAAATTTACCCCTTGGAATAAACTTTTTTTACCTAACAATCTAAGTCGGATTTACAAAGAGATTTACCAATTAAAATATATATATTTAAAATCTATTTAAAAAAAAATTTAATAGAATAGATCTTCATAGTCTTTCAGTTAACACAGCAAAGGGTTAATAAAAATATCCTAATTCTTTTTAGAAAAATTTTACCGTAAAAATTATCAGATCTCTTGGAGATTATTTCAATTTCTGTGCATACGATTTTAAAGAAATTGAAGGATTTGACAGAAGTAATATATTAAAACATTTTGCTTTTCTATTCTTTTAATTTTGAGAGGAAATAAGTTCCGCAGATTTTTTCGACTTTTGAATCTAAAGAGTTATTAAGAATATATCAAAAATTTTAAAGTCTTTGTGACAAACTCAAATTTTCGAATCCCATATATCCCTGCTACCTGGTGATGACATTTATTATTTCAAACTTAGATTATTCAATCTAACAGAATTTATAGTTTGAAATATCTAAGGTCTACGACTTGGGTTGTAACGATATAAGGATTAAAAAATCAAAGTTTGTGACAAAGACTCAATTTCCTTTTGTAGTTAATCAACAAATATGAAAGATGATTTTACACCATGAAGCAATATTCTTGATATTGCACTAAAATCTAAACTTTAAACATCAAATTCATGAAGTTTGTATATAATATTTTATGATGGTAAAATTCATGCGGATCATGCTTATTTTGAAACATCGCGGCTTTTTAGTGCATGCACCTTGTGATTCATATTATTATGTGATACATTTTTTTTTGATTTGTTAAAAGACGACATTGGTTAACATATTCTCTGTGGACAATTATACTTTCAAAGAACAGGTCATTGTTTTACAGTGATCATGATGAGTAAAATCTGTTTGTCTGTTTGTTTAGTTGTCTGATCATACCGATCATAATCCATGGGACCGATTTGCCTCAAATTTTGTTTGGGGGAACTTTGTATAGCACTGCACGGGAATGTTCTTATATTAGTGAGAGGGTTAGATTAGATTAAAAACTTTATGTTGAGTGGACTCTTATATTTCAATAGAAATTGTTGAGTTGAATTTTACAGGAAAATATTAGTTTTCACTCAAAGCTGGGTTTCCAAGCTCGTGAACACTAAGATATTGTGGGTTGTCTCTGCTGTTACACTTCCCTGATTATTCCAATAATAGTTTGAATATTATCTTGAAGTTAGAAGCAACATTGCAACAAGAGAATATATATACAATATTATACAATACATGTCAGATCAACTAGTGTAAAGAGAATATATACAATATTATACAATACATGTCAGATCAACTAATGTAAAGAGAATATATACAATATTATACAATACATGTGAGATCAACTAATGTAAAGAGAATATATA